GGGCTGCCTGAAGTTACCCTTCATCTCTGAACCTGTCCTCAGTTGATGGGATGTGTGACTTACACTTTCTCTTTCTTCCCACCATACTGACACACCTTCTCCCTCTACCTCAGCATCTCTGTGTAATAGTGCCCTCTAGCCTTTGAGCTGGGAGGTGTCCTTCAATTTAGCTCTCATTTCCTTATTTCACAGGGACCAAAATTTCCACACCACAGCAAAGGCTCAGCTGCCTGGGAGATGTCAGTTGCTCCTAGTGGCAAGCACCTCACTCTGTGAATACTTTTCTTTCTCATAAATGTTTTCCTCCACACAGTGGGTTAAGGTATGGGGAATTCACTCCTCTCTCCTCCTGTGGAGAGAAAAAGAATCCCTTTTCCATTTTTCTCCAAAAGATACTTCCTCTTCCAACCCCCACAATCAAATCTCCAGCATCCTCACCAATACCCTGGATGTAGGTGCTCACCTCACAATCACCAGAGTTGGCTTTTTGGCTTATCTTGAGTGAGTGCCCTTGAAGTCTTCTTTATAGCACTTTAGATACTTGTCAAATGCTAATGTCTGCACTGGACTTTAGACAAACTTGCTAGTGGGAAAGTCCCATTGCATATGTATTTTGTCATAGTGTGAAGTTAGAATAGGAGTTAGTTATATTGTGTAGAACTGAGGAAGGGTTTGTGTCAAAGCAAAGCAGAATGTGTAGGGTTTAAATGGTCTTTGAGAAGATGAGAGCCTAAAATACCACTCAAAAATCTGTTTTCTTAGCTATACCAAGCCAAGTAAGATAGCTCTCTCTGGTCTTTACTTCTTCAGTATGCGGACATTTCCAGGGAAAAGAGCCCCAGAAGAGAAGATAAGGAAGCCCACTGCTGGGCTATGGCTTGAAATGGTGGGAGCAAACCCTTCGCTAATAGTCCTCAAAGAAATCACAATGTGCTGGCCCTTTTTTGCAGTTGCTGCCTGGGTAGATTCCTTGGAAATAACTTCCCCCACCAGCAAGGTAGAAAGACAAGTGAGAAATGGGAGGCAACAGCAAAAGGAATGTGTCCATTGCTCTGTAGGAGATCACATTCCCAAGGCTGAAGACAGAGAGGAAAATACATGCTCCTAAATGTACAGAAATAATAAGCTACTAATTAAAATACCCTAAGTGTTATGTAAGAGAGTGACATAAGGTAATATTTAATAATGATGACTGGAGAATCATTTAAAATATTTAATAAAGATTGTTGATATTTGTTGAGGTCTCATTTGGAGTTCGAAGGATGCTAAGTGCTATATAGTCATTTGTTCTACAAACAACCCCATTGAGCAGGTGATGTCCTCAATCCCATTTTCATATTTAGAGAATTCAGGGTTAGAAAGACCAAGAGATTTACCTCAGGGTGCACAGCAAATAGAAGAGCTTGGATTTAAACTTGAACCTTGCCGCAGTTACTATGCTGCATGTCAAATTGCCCTTAAATCCAGTGGCTTGCAACAACAATATTCATTTAAAGTATCTTTCATGTTTTCATGAAGGGTTTGGTCAGGAGGTTCTTGCATTATTATTATTACTATTATTTTCTGATGATGGTCATTCCAAACAGGGTTTCCTTCATGCCAGGCAAGTACTCTATTAATAAGATACATTCCTCAGTCCAGTATGGGATCCAAGGGGAGGATTTCTGTGGGAAAAAAGAAGGAAAGAGGTTGAAGAGAAATAAGCGTATAATACCTTATCAAATAAAATGATGTTTCCTTAGGTCACTGGATCTAAAATCTTTTTAGACATGAAAGTAAATAACTTAAAATTGAATAAAAACTGTTGAGGCATTAATCCAAAATCATACAGGAAGTTAGTAATATAACGGCACCCAAATTCCAGAGTTCTTATTCTTTATGCTTGGTAGATGGAGACTGGATTGTGTACTCACTTGAATCCCAAATCTAGGAATTTGAAATTTACTTAACACAAATTGAGAACATTTGATGTTTTTGAGTAAGAAGGTAACTATATACAATTCATATTTTCTTAGGTTAAAAATCATGACAGGGGTTTTGTGCATGTTCTTTTGAACTACGAGTAGCACTAGATGGCAGGCTTGCTCTCAGGATGGAAAGAAGGAGGTGATAAATGTGTAGTATTTAGTTTGCAAATCTTATTTTGAATCTTCCTGATAAACGAGTTCATGAGCAATTCTAAATCTCTTAAATTTCTATGCAAAATTCTTTTTGGTATGAATTTAACAGCTCCATGTTCCTCTTTATCTCTTAATGAATCCCAAATCTGCTAAAGAAGAGTAAGTCAAGAAGTAGGGAATTTGGCTGTTTCATTCATACTTCCCTCCACAATGCTACCTGCCCTGTAGTAACAACTTAAGAACATTTGAGTTCTTATTCCTCTTCTTTTTTTGTATTCCAAGCATGTCATTTTAAAAAAATTGTTTTATTTCATGTAATTTTAATCTTATAGGATAATTTCTGATTGACAATAATTGAACATATTTATGGGGCACAGTGTGATATTTTGTACCTATACACATTGAGTAACGATCAAATCAGGGTAAATAGAATATCATCACATTAAACATGCACCATTTCTTTGTGACAAGAACATTGAAAAATCTTCCCTTGTAGCTACTTTGAAATATAAATTTTTAAAAAACTCTAATCACCCTACTGTACAATATCGCAGCAGAACTTATATAATCAAAACTTATATGATCAAAACTTATGAAGAATGTTTAATTTTTTATTTTAAAGATTTAAAAAACTAACAAAACAACAATGAAGACAAAATCAAAACAACACAAGAACAACAAAAACGATACATGACCTCAAAACAAAATGATAGGAATTAACAATGATTGCTACACTACATTCTGTTATCTTCAGTGAAGTTGCTCAGTCCACCAGATGTAAGAATGTAAGATTGATCAAACAATCAAAGGTAGTAATAAGTAAGGAAAACAAAAAACTGGAAGTGATGCAGAGCTTCACCATATAAGATGGTAGGATTTCAACAGTGGTTGTTATACTGCACATTGTTGTTTTCAAATCAGTCATTCTGATTACCAGATTCAAGCTTGCAATTTTAAAAAATGCATTAAAAGACACATTGCTGTGAATCCCCCTTGGAATACTCCCTCTTGCTTTGAACACAGTTGCCCCATCATTCTTGTCACTTTCTGAAGCAATTCTGGAGGTTCTCTTTCATGAATGTCTTTAGTTGCATAGTCATGGCTGCCTCCAAATCTTGAATTAGTTAAAAAAAAATTACTTTTCATAGTCCTTTTGACTTTCAGGCAGAGCTAGAAGCTTCACACAATGAATAAAGTGTATGAGGGCACATGTCATGTTTTTATTTGACTGAAATTGCCATAACTATGTTGACTATTGAAGCAACCATGAAAAGACACTGAGGAAAGAGGACTTCCAGAACCGCTTCAGGAAGTGGAAAGGACAGTGAGATAAGAGTGTTGGAAGGGAAGGGGTGGCTGCTCTGAGGGGGAGTAATGGCAATATGTCTTTTATCATAATACATTTCTACAATTTTTATTTAAACATTCACTGTAGGTTTTGACTGCACCTCATACACCTCCTGAGACTTTGTACTTGCTTTGGTACATTCTATATGGAGAAGATTTTCAAAAAGTGTGGCTTGTTTTCTGTGCTTATGGAAAAAAAAAACCTTAAGTATATAAAATTGGAAATAACATGTTGAAAAACTGGGTAAAATTACATGATCAGGGGCATAGTATCAAGAAATAAAGAAATCAATACGAGCTCATAAGAATACAGAAGGCAGTGGAATTGTGAGATTTGAGGTGTCCCTTGAGTAATAGGTAATACATAAGTAATGACATATTGCAGGTGGAGCACACAGGCACCTTGCGTTTGCCAGGACTGGCTCAACCTATTATTATAATAATAGCTGCATTCATTAAGCACTTACTGTACACTAAATACTTTACATGTTAATTGTAACCTTTTAATGATAAAGTTACCAAAATTCCCCATGTCTTTCAAGCAAGACTTAGAGAGGTGAAACAACTTGATGAAAGTCAGAGGGGTACAAGGTGAGAAGCTGGGATTTGAATCCAGGCTTGTGTGGCTCCAAAATTTTCAGCACGGCATGGTGTCTCCTATGTTCTGAAGGAGGATGGCAAACATGGCAAAAATAGAGCTTTTGCACATGAGAAGAGGATCAAGAGTGGGAAGGGGCGGACAGGGAGGAGAAGAGTAGAGGATAAAAAGAAAAGAATTAAGATGTATTAAGACATGCACCAACTGCCTACGATAAACTTAATCATCAATGTACTATAAACATGTACTAATAAAAAAATAAAAAAATTGAAAACAAATACATTTCCCAGAAGATATATACTAGTGTTCAACTCAGAATATATGGACTATTCTGTGTGTGGATCCTGTCAGTGTTTTTCTTCAGATTGGCAAAAATTACCACTTCCTGTTGGTAAAATCACCCACATGTCACAAGCTTATCACAGGAGCTGGGACTTGAGTCACCTCATCTTTCTGAGGGTTCATGTGAAAGCCACATGATGACTGCCTGGAAATGGATAAGACCCAGGCAACCAACCCCAGGCATCAGTTCGATAGTCTGTGCTTGTGCCCTCCTGGCTGAGGTTTCCTCCTGTGTTTATCACTCCCCAGGGTCTATTCTGCTGGGTTTCATATTCATCTTTCAACCTGTAGCCTGTCCTGTGCCTGGGCACACACATTTAGACGGGAACGTGAAAGGAGAATTGGTAGGCTTTTTACTTTTCTGGTTTGTTGGGTTTACTTCCTCATGAGCAGTGGGAGGATGGCAGCATGACGCTATGGCGGTGTGCTAAGTTGCTTGCTGAGCAGGACAGGAAAACCCATTTGGAGCCCCACCTTGGTGTCCCTTCCTGGCCATGAATTTCCACAGTGCACTCTGGGAAGGAGGAGGGATTTTTCACTCATTGTTGTCACTGTTGCCACTCTTGTCACCACTGGGAGTTGCCCTTGGAGATGAACCAATGGGAAGTCTCGGGAATCTTCCCTGAGCCTTGGCAGAGGTTCTGCATTGGGAGGAGAGAAGAATCTTAGGAGGAAGGAGGCAGGAGGAACTGGAGCCCAGAAGTGAAGACTACAGAATTGCAGTGGGAGGAGGTGAGTGGCATTCTTATGCTAGCTGGGTTATTCTAGGTTTGAAGTTTGCTCTGGGGCTCAAAGCTATTCGTATTGGTGCATTCCTCTAGTGCCAAAGGGTCAGCTTCACCTCTAGTACCTAGCTTCCTCACCAAGAGACATTCCCTGGCTTGGTAAACAATAGTCTGTACACTCTCTCTTCCTGAAAACATCTTTAGCTCTTTAAACTGATCTCCAGCCTTTACAGGGTTCTTGTGGAGTGATCAACAGGGTTAGTGAATGGTAACATCTATCACATGGGCCAATATAATGGGTGTAGAAAAATTGACTTTATGTTTCATCTTAGGAGAAAAAAGCCTACCAATTTTTGTTGGATCTTGGAATATAGTTAGTATCCAAACATCCATCTGAACATTTATTTCTGGGAGTTACAGTCACATTAAATGTATAAATGAATCAATGTTTACTTATGAGCTATGTTTGGCTACTTTTAATTTTTAAAGTAAATGATTCACAACGTACGTGACAAGTTATATGCTAATCTCAAGTGTAGAGACCATAATTTAATGTTGATAATTCCCCAAAAAGGTCTACTGGGTGTTAGACATTCCTTGTTAATTATATTTTTCTTACAATCAATTATATTTAGAAATTTCAGCAAAAAGTAGTAAGAGCCTTGGATTTTTTCTTTTTTATTCATAACAAGCACTTTTGAGTACTAGCACATTTGAGTATTTGATGGACTTATTTGGATCCAGAAATTCTCCAACGAATCCAAACCTGGGTACATATGAGCTTTAGAATATTTCTGTGCTACACTTACATTCCTCTACAATTACTTATAACCTTGATATTTCTACTAGTATTTTTGCATGCAATAAAAACCAACTTGAGGGTGGGCTGCTCTAAGGAAGGAAAAGTGCTGTTTATACTTAGGAGGCCCTGACCTCTATGGCAGTTGGAACAGAAGCATTAAAAAGAGGAAACTGGATGTGATAATGGCTGTATGTGGAGGATTTTGAATCAAAGTCTTTTGTAGAATATCTGAGTAGAGAGGCCCACATTTGTACTCGGAAATGCAATGGCATTGATTGGTCCATAGAAGAGTCAGTTAATCAAATCATTCTGAAAATTTTTCTTAAGGTCGCCCATTTGACTGAACAGTGCTTTAGAGATGCAGGGATGGTAGAAATAGAAAGAAATAAATTTCATACCAGCTGACAGGGTAGTTCTGTTCACGTTTAGTAAGGCAAAGCTGGGTTTGGGTTTGAGATTACTATAAAGTAAACAGACTTCCTAATTTATTCTTTGAGAGTTTATCAGAATACATTTTTCTGTCACAAGCTGGTTGTTGCCACAGATGATGCTAAGTAGAACACCGAAACCGAGATTAAAGCTGAGTATGGGATAGTGCAGGAACAAGCCCCTACAGCCTTAGGCTTTTCCTTGGAGGACTTGGAGTCCTGGTCAGGGAGAACGCTGGTCACCAGGGCAGTCCAAAGAGTGTGCCAGTGGTGGGAGCACAACACAGGTAGGTTCCTCCCTCTGGTCCTCTTTCCAGCTCCCTGGCCTCACTAGATTCCATCTTTCCTTCTGACATGTGGAATTTGAGCATCACTTCTATTTGGAGCTTTCTATAACCTCGCTAGATCTCTGAACCCCTTCACAAATATTTCCATCAGTGTAAGCCTTACACTGCTGTCTAATTTTTAATTTTGAATAGATCGTGCACTATTTGTGGGGAGGGACAGGGATGATGTTTCAATTTCTTGTTGCTCAGCAATGTTTACACAGAGGTGTTGGAAGTTTTAAAAGTTTATCATGTTTAGAAACATTTAATTTAATCCATAGAAACTTTTGATTTATCTCATTTCTCCAAAGTCATGAAGAAATTTTTTTCTTTACTTCTTTTCTTTGCATTTCTCCTGTCTTCAATTTTTTTTTCTATGAGAAGCCAAAAGAAATTTGGAGGTTGCAGGAGGCATGCATAGGGGCAAAATTTAGAAAAAAAATGGAAACAATATTAGTTTCTGCTAATTTCCTCATTATATAATTATCTTTCTTTAAATGGACACTGCAATTTGAGGATTAGTTAACCAAAATTCATCTGCAAAATCAGTCTCTGAATTAATGATACAAGCTATGCAATCTCAAGAACTTTCAACATGTCTATACAAATTCTGGTAAGAACTATAATACTTTATGAGTAAAAGGTAAAAAAGCATAAAAAAGTATAAAATATAAAAAGTAAGCTGGGCTTGGTGGCACACACCTGTAATCCCAGCACTCGGGAGGCTGAGGCAGGAGGGTTATTGTGAGTTCAAGACCAGCCTGGGTTACAAAGTGAGCTCAAGGCCAATCTGAAGTGCATAGTGAGACCCTGTCTCAAAAAGACAGAAAAAAAAGTAAAACACAGAGCTGGTCATTATGAGTCATTAACCAAAGTGTTGCCATCTATCATGAAAAGTGAAAACAGATGATAGATTTATATAACAAATTGTATTCATAAGTTCTGAGTCTGTGACTTCAATCAAATACAGAACAAAAATATTTGGAGGAAAAATTGTATCTGTATTGGAACATAATTTTTCTCGTTATTTTTCTATGAGGTGTATAGTGTAACAGTTATTTGTATAGTATTACAGTGCACTGAGGTATTACAAGTAATCTCGAAATGACTTGAAGCATGCTGGAGGATATGCATAGATTCTATGCACATACTAAGCCATTCTATTTAAGGGATTTGCACATCCTCAGGTTTTGATATATGCAGAGTCTTGGAATCAATCCCCCACGGGCACTGAAAGTTGTGTATTTAAAGTTTACACGCAAATCAAATTTGAAGTTTGAAAGATGTACGCCGATATTTTATAACAAGAACATGACTTGTAGGATACAAAGTAAAGGTAAAAACTATTTTTCTCCCACATGTGTGGGACTTGTTTCATTCTCAAATCCTGAATTTTATTGTGTACCAGGTTCTGTAAAATCATTAGACGGTGGGTGCGTGTGAATTGTCTGGTAAAGACTTTCCTGCACATCATGCAGGACTTGTCACTTCTGTCCATGGTACATGAAATATTAGTTCAGGAGGAGTTCATGCCCAGAGTCTCCTGCAGGACCAGTGAAACACTGTCATGATGATGAGCTTCACTCGGTCTCTTCATAAAGGCTTTAAAAAAATCACAATGTTTATTTTATATGTAACGAGAATTATTATTTTTATAACTTTAATAACTTTTAAGGACAGAATTGATGGGTTCAAATATTGTTAAGTAACGCGCATGTATGGTTACCCAGTAATTTTGAAATACACGGCCAAATCTTGCTACCCAGAGATGTCCAGAACTGGCAGTTCAACAACTCAATAAGTACTAGTTCATTTCCGCTGAAAAGCTCATTGTGCCATCGAGAACTGGTCTCTCTTGGAAGAAGAGCCCTATGAAGATAATGTAATGATGATTCCTATGATTCGGTCAACCTCTCTATTTCTTTGAATTAAAACTTTAAAAAGCACAGGAAAAAATATGAAAGTGATAAACAGTACTACTTTCTTCAGGCGATTTTTTTTTTTGCATTGTACCCGGAGAATTCTTCTGTGGGAGTAGAACTGTGCACCATTGTCTTGGGTGAGGAGAGTGACTCGGGACCGTCACCTTAGAGAAGGTTGAGGTTTCTTCTGTGGCAGTGACTCCCAAAGCCTCTCAGCCATTGTGAGAAAGGCGTCCAGGTCTCCCTCCGTTCTGGTCGGAGTCAGGGTGGAGGAGAAGCAGAAGCTTCTATTTGTCTTCAGAATGCTTTGAAGTGTCAGTGAAGGAGAGTTTTCGTGAGCAGGTGGCATTGAGAACTGTCCAGGGCAGGCAAGCTTGGCGCTTGCCTTTTTATCAAATCCCAGCCTCACATTTTATGTTTTTGGAAAAATCTACTCTGATTTCTTTCATTTTAATTTCTTGCAGCTTTTCATTGCAAATTAAAAATCTCTCTTCTCGCAGATTCTCTACCTCTTCCCCACACTAATCACCATCACAATTTTGAGTTTTTACTCCATGTTACGAGTTAGTAACAAAGAAGCATTATCTTCCTGGTTTAAGAAATGTAGTCAACTATAAAAAGAAAATTTAGATTGTGGATTTTTTATTTAAATAAAGTCAAAATACTGTGTGTGATTTCTGTTCTATACATTGCAACATGGAAAAGCAACTGACTCAATTCTCAGAGGTAAAAGAGGAATAATAATAATAAACTTAACGGTAATAAAGGTTTCAATGCTTATGAGAGTGAAGATAAATGCTGATTTGCTTTGTGTGTGTGTGTGTGTGTGTGTGTGTGTGTATGTGTGTGTGTGTGTGTGTGTGTGTATGTGTGTGTGTGTTATTCTGGGGGTTGAAAGGGAGGCCCTGCTTATGCTAGGCAAGTGCTGTGCCACTGAACTACATTCTCAGATCTTTCTTAAAATTTTGAGACAGTCTTGAAAGTTGCCCAGGCTAAACTTGAATTTTTTATGTTCCTCTTTGAGCCTCCCTCTTTGAGCTGGGAGTATAGGCATGCACTATACACATGGTTGTGATTATCTTTGCTAGATCACATTGGCCCAAGAGTTTTAAGGTGTGAAGCCCAATATAGGCCTCCAAAAAATGGACTGTATGGTTTGTCAGTTGACTGTGTGTTTTAATCAATATTTCACTTTCAGGGTGCATTTAAGGCTTACAGGAGGGCTTGGCAAACTCTAGGTCTCTGTCCAAACTAGATTGCTGACTGACTTTGTAAATGAAGTTATAATGGGGCACTGACATACCTTACTTGTTTATTTTTTGTATGTACTTTTATGTTGCAACTGAAAAATTGAGCATATTCTATCCACAGTGCTTTGGTTAATTTTCATTTAACTGTAAGTACTGGGTGTTCTGCTAAGTAAAACCAGAGTAGAGCTCCTCTTCACGTTTAAAACCTACATGGAAGTTTTAGTTTCCAAGGGATCCTCCCTTGTTTGTGGGTTTATCCTTGAAAGACTCTCAATTATG